ACATATCTTCAACAGACATAACATATATGTACGAATACATATGTCTCAGCTGCATACATTGCACTAGCATTTAAACATGGTCATTTCTCCCCAAACTTAAAAATATAGACAACTTTGCCCATATTTTTGCTTCCTGCTACTGCTCCAATACTCCCATCTTCTTCACAAATTTCTAGAAAGAGTTATGTATACTTGCTATTTTCTTCACACCTTCCACTCAGTCTTAATCACTATTTTCTTCTGGCTTTGTCCTTCATCCCACAACTAATTCCTGACTCTCCTGAAATAGGACCCACTAGAATAACTAATGATTTTCATGTGATGGAATCCAATAGATATTGTTTATCCCAATCTTGTTTCTCTCTTAGCAGCAGTCACCTGTTTTCCACCATCCTCCTTGAAATATTCTTCCCTTGGCTTTTTGGACACCATCTTCCCAGTTTTCCATCTATTTCTGTGGCGACACCTTTCATTTCATTTTTAGGCTCATCCTTTACTTATCCTAATATTAAATGAGAGAATTCTTTGAGGCCTTCATCTCTTCTGACACTATGTTCTTCCTTGGTAATTTTATCTACTCTCATTGCTTCCATTATCATTGATATGCCAATGACATTCAAACATATATCTCTCATCTGAACTACTGTTCCAAGTTCTAGACTTGTATATTTAATTGCTTTCTCAAGATCTTCACTTGGAGGTCTTCAACACATCTCACATACAAAATATCAAACACCAACATCACAATCTTCCATCTGAAAATGGGACCTCTTGCTAGAGGTGCAGTAGTTTCACCAGTCCCACCTCACTGGTTGGCAGTGGTGTCCATTGAACAGTACAAGCCAGAAACCAAAGAGTCACACTAGACCCCTGACACCTACATCTACCATGTCCAATCCATAATCAAACTCGATCCTTTTTTTCAAACATACTTTGAAACAGCTTATTATTGTCTCCCCTCCTATGCTAGTCCAAATTACCATTATAATTTGCCTCAACTATTACAATAGCTTCTTCTTTAAAATTAATATTTATTGGGGTGACAATGGTTAGTAAAATTACAAAGGTTGCAAGTGTACCATTCTGTAATACATCATCTATATATCACATTGTGTGTTCACCACCCAGAGTCAGTTCTCCTTCCATCACCATATATATGACCCCGTTTACCCTTGGGGTACAATGGCTTCTTAATACACCTCCTTGAATTTACTCTAGCTCCACTCTTTTTCCACACCATAGGCAGAGTGCATTTTTTCTGTTTCCAAAATGCCAATCTGACTACACAACTTCCCTGTAAAAATTCTCATAGCTTCCTTTTCATCTTGGGATAAAGATGAATAAATTTCTACTTGGTTTTCAAGGTCCTAAATATTGTGGCACATGACAAGTTCTACAGACAATTTTCATGCATTATCCCATTTTGTGCTCTGCACTCTCACTATAGGGCATGTGCACATGCTGCTGCATCTGCCTGGAATATTATAATATTTCTCTCTATCCCCTTTGGACTAGTTAACTTCTATTCATATTATTATCTCCATTTTAGACAAGAAACTGAGACACACAGAGGTTAAATAACTGGCCAACATTACACAGATAGTAAGTAAGTAGAAGCAGAATTCTAGACCAATCAGTCTGATTCTAGAACCTACGCTTTTAACTCATAATATAGTTCCATTGGAAACTTTCCTTCATAGTAGTTAGAATTTAAAATTATACATTTACCATTGTGATTATTTTAATGTCTAGCACTTCTGGTTAATTATAAGGTCCATGAGACCAGGAACTGCTTCTGCTTTTGTGTTAGCATAATACCTGTCACCAAATAGGCAATAAATGTTTGGTGAATAAATGAATGAACTGATATGACTTTAAGAGTATAAACTAGTTATTCCCAGAGATCCTCTCATTTTGGAAAGCTGACAGATGCCTGATCCAAAACAAATTTACCAGTGTTCTATCATATTGCCTTGATAGTTCCACAACAGCATTCACTGAAGGATTCTTCTCAATAATATTTTTAAGCTATGTAAATAACAAACCTGAATCTATCTTTCCTAGAACAGTAATAAATTCCACTTATGCAGATTATCTTAAAATATCCAAATAATCCTTCAACATATGATTTCAAAACACTGATGGATGATGTAATTCAGTTTTCTCTGGGGATTATGAATTGTCAAAACATTAACACAATTTGTCATCACCTTCCTTTCCTCCATTTCCAGTATCAAATTGTAATATGACTTCCCAAACAGTGTCTTAAAAACAGAAAAAGAGGAGTCATCCAAGATTCTTTTCTCTCATTTATCTTCAATCACCATTTCATACACACCACACACACATCATCAGAAAGATTCCATTCTCAAAATCACTTTGGGATCCATCCATATCACTCCATCTTCACTTCCGTGACCCTAATCCTGACTGATCAACTGCAGTGATCTCCTGATGCATTTCCACCTTGCAACATGTCATATCCAGGATATTTTATTTTATTTTTTTAAATTAAAGTTTATTGGGGTGAAAATTGTTAGTAGAGTTACATAGGTTTCAAGTGTACAATTCTGTAATACATCATCTATATATCACATTGTGTGTTCACAACCCAGAGTCAGTTCTCCTTCCATCACCATATATTTGATCCCCTTTATCCTCTTCTACCACCCTCTTACCCCTTTACCCTCTAGTGACCACTAAGGTATTGTCTGTGTCTATGAGTTTTTGTTTCTTTGTCTTGTTCTTTTGTCACTTTCAGTTTTATATCCCACATATCAGTGAAGTCATATGGTTCTCGACTTTTTCTGTCTGACTTATTTCACTTACCATAATAATCTCAGGAGCCATCCATGTTATCACAAATGGCACTATTTCATCTTTTCTTATGGCAGAGTAGTATTCCATTGTGTATATATACCACATTTTCTTTATCCAAACATCTATCAACAAGTATATTCAATGTAAATGGGTGAAATGCTCCATTTAAAAGATAGAGTGGTTGAATGGATAAGAAAAGAAGTCCCATACATATGCTGCCTACAATAGACTCACTTCAGATCAAAAGGCACACACAGACTGAAAGTAAAGGGATGGGAAAAAAGATGTTTCAAGAAAATGGAAACAAAAAATAAATGAAGTAGCAATACCTATATGAGAAACATAGACTTCAAAAAAAAGGCTATAACAAGAGACAAAAACGGAATGGCCCAGTAATCCTACTTCTGGGTATTTATATGAAGAAACCCAAAATGTTACTTCGAGGGGATGTGTGCATCCACATGTTCACTGCAGCATTGTTTACAATAGCCAAGATGTGGAGGTATTCTGTGTGCCCATCGATGGAAGAATTGATAAAGAGGAGGCGGTACATATATACAATGGAATATTGCCAGGCTATGGAAGGGAATAGGTTTTTGCCACGTGCAGTGGAATGGATGGACCAGGAGGGTATTTTGCTGAGTGGAGTATGTCAGACAGAGAAAGACAGATGCAATGTGATTTCCCTTACATGTGGAATCGAAAGAACAAAATAAACAAGCAAATAAACAGAAACAAATTCATAGATACAGAGAACATTTTGATGGTTACCAGATGGGCGGGGTTTTGGGGATGAGTGAAAAAGAGGAAGGGATTAAGAAGTACAAATTGGTTGTTACAAAGTAGTCATGGGGATATAGGCTATAGCTTAAGAAATATAGTCAATAATATTGTAATGACTATGTATGGTGTCAGATGGGTACTAGATCTATTGGGGTGATAGATGGGAGTGTGGTTGGGGGGCAGGGTGAAAAAGGTGAAGGAATTAAGAAGTACAAATTGGTAGTTACAAAATAGTCATGGAGAGGTAAAGAATAGGGAATATACTGAATAATATAGTAGTAACTACGTATAGTGTCAGGTGGTACTAGACTAGTCAGGGGATCACTTCTTAAATGATATAAATGTCTAACCACTATGCTGTACACCTGAAATTAATATAACATAATACTGAATGCCAAAATAAATAGAGTTAAAAAAATAAACCCTGAAAGCAGCTTTTCATTTACAGGTAAAATCTTATCATCAAAGCAAAAAATAAAAACAACCTAATAGTTGTTCTGCCTCTCTTTTGTTTAATACTGCTGTTTAAATAATCATTTCTAACATTTCTATTGCATTTCATAACATTAGGCAGAGTCAGGACATCTGGTTTATTTTATAGATGAAGAAATTAAGTTGGGGAGGAGGTGGGATGTCCATTCCAAGGTCGCAGCGCTCTATGGGGGAGAGCTAAAACTGAAAACCAGATCTCGTAGTCCTTAGTTTATTCTTCTATAAGAATAATAATAACAAATCCATTCAATGTACAGAAGTATTGAACTCTCTAAAACGTTTTGTATTTTAATAACATTTTGATAGAAAACAGCTGAAAAATCCCCTGTATTCCTGTCGTGTTTTCATATACCCTTTTACATATTAAAAAATGAAAGCTACTCTGGAAGCATCCAAAGTAAGCACAATGCATAAAAGTGATATGTTTTTAAGTGTTAGATTTAAGTGTTAACTATGTATTCTTTCAGAGGAAAACAAGCATCCAATGTATAAGATACCAGTTCATTTCACAGCAAAAGCAGTGAAAATTGGAATTACTATTTTAATAAAATTACTATACCTGTAACCACAACATACAAATAAATGAAATCACCATGTACAGAAGATATACATGTTCTATAAAATCAATCAAAACATCATATAAAGATAAATTAAATCATTAATTTTAGAGGAGCTCTGTGGTTATTTCTGAGGTTACCAGAGAGAGAAAAGTTACCACAATGTGGAAGATTCTGATTCATAGAAAAAACAACCACATAGAAAATCTCAGAAAACCTCTTAACTCTAAAATGGAACTTTCCTTACCATTTCCAAAGGACCAGGTTTGCTTATAAGAGGTATGATTTTTATAGAAAATAAAGGTTAGTAAGAAAACAATAAGAATTAAAAGCAATAGTGTTACTTACAATATGATGAGTATCCAGCTCCTATGAAATAGCTTCCTACAAAAAATGCAGTATTTCCCCAAATTAATATGATATCAAGTCAAACAAACAATTTTTTTCCACAGAAAAATGTATGAGCCCATTTTTAAAAGGTGAAGAAAGTGAAACAAATAATTATTCAAAACAAGTTACCTCTCATCCCCACACTTCCTTCCCTAAAATTTAAGTTCCAGACTTACTATAAGTGAATAATGCGTCCAGTTATAATCAGATCTTCTGTAATACCACTGAAATCTGTCTCAATGAACAGCTTCTTAGCTTAATGGATTTTAACTGACCTTAGAACTGAAGTCTTCATGTAGGAGGAGCTCTTTTTTATGCACCAAATTTACTGACTGTCGGGAGAAAATTTGCATTCAAAGCAGATCATTCAAGGCTGCATTTGTCAAAAGATTCAGAGGAAATCACCAAGTTCATCTTAGTGATTTTCATTCCCTTTTAATTAGTTCCTGATAGGCATTTCAGTATGCCAATGTTATTTTACTACATGAGTCACTACATTGGGAATTAACAGATAATCCAAAGGTAAGTATGTGATTGCCAGGTCTGTACTGTTTCCTCACAGTACACTATACAAAGTACTTCACTGTTTAGAGTTTCAAATGCCTTTAAGTATGAAAAGAGTCATAAATGGACAAGGAATCTGGAAACGTGGATTCTACTCTAGGCTCTCCCTCCCACAATAAGCTAAGTGACCTTGGGAAATTTCCTCAACATCTCTGGGATTCAGTTTCAAATAATTTACTGAAAAAAACCTCAAAAGTCATCTAGTCCAACTTCCAATTCCAAACAAAAGCTGCCTCTTCATTTGCCTTAAGGTTTCTCTGATTTCTAAAGTCCTTGGTGTTGTAATTAAAATTCAGTGTCGTGTACCTTTTTTTCTCATTGAAAGTTTATCAAATATTTTTTACATAACCAAACAAGATTTTATTTCAGCCCAGATATAAAGAAAATCAGATCACCATCAAATTGTCCTTCATCCTTCAAGTCTCCACAGAGTTTTTATCCACCCCTGATTTAATCTCCATGACTAGGAACTATGCAAAGCCATAAGAAGCCAGAATACGTTGATGCTTTTCTAAAGTAGACAAAATGATGTCAGCGATTTATTCCAAAATAGGAATGGTTTGAGATCAGATCCAGTTTACATACAACCTAATATTGCAATGAATAAAAAGTATCTTCCTTGTTTTGCAACACAGGTTCAAACTTGGTAACTTCTCTCAGATACCAAAGATATATTTTGAACAAAATATGTGAATAAACAAATAAAAAGCAAGGACTCTGAATGAAGAGGGAGTCATGGATACAGTCTTCTCTCCATTACTAACTTTATGTTTTATCTTAAGAGGTTTTTTTGTTTTTTATTCATTTGCATAGTTAATGTTTCACCCTAAATTGAAGTCGGAAGGTGGGAAGAAACTGAGAATTATTTAGGGAGTTCAGTACTTGTTTTTCCGATGTCAGCTAGTTTGGCTCTTTCACAACCATTTTTTGTCAGAAATCATTTATCAGGCCTACGTGAGGTATTTTATAATCAGAATTTGCTGACATGATGGTAAAAAAGGAGACCTAGATTTAAAACCTTTCCTTTTCCTGTGATTGCAATTCCAATTAACTCATTTATCTTCTTCTATTAAAAGAAAAAAAACTCTCCAGGAAGTTTTCTTCAAGCTTCCTGTTTCCCCCCAAATTTCTGGCCCTTGCAAATATTTCATTACATTATACTTTATAGTAAAATGCAGAAGTACAATTCAAAGAAATACAATTATAATATCTTGAGATGGTACAATACATTTATTTGTAAACATACAAAACATAAGTAAATATTGTTAATAAAATGCAGTAGGAAACAATAATGTACCATACCTCAGATATTGAAGTTGATTAGATATGAACTTCCACCCTGTTTTGATTGCTTAACTAGTGAAAAGGATAGGCTGATCTTTGTTTCTTGTGTGAATAGAAAGACACTCAAAAGATAACTCATTTTAATATACTAACAGTCCCATTTGTTAGCTTTCCAGTGACATCAATAGAAGTTTCCAATGATACTTGTGTGCTTGTACCTTAGCACTTATTACTCTGCCCTAGATAAAAGGCATGTTGCAATTCCTAAGAAAGACACAATTTGGGGGAGAGGGGGTTGTTACTTTGTGAGGGTGAAAAGATAACTACTGCATTGTTCTGTATACCTGAAACTAACAATAGAATAATTAAAAAAAAAAAAGAAAGAAAGACACAGTTTGGGAATAAACCTGATTGGTGTAGAGAAAGGAGGCTGGATCAGACTAGTTGGAGCAGTCCCTCCATAGCTGGAAGCTGGTATACACAAAAATCAAGGAAGAGTATAAACCCACATATGAAGCAGGTCAGGATCAGTGTCACCCAAGAGGTGTAGAATAAAGAGGTATATCCAAGGGCTGGCCAAGTGGCGCAATGGTTAAGAGCTGGCTTGGGACTCCAGAGGGCCCCAGTTCGGATCCCACATATGAGGGCCAGTGACACTGCCCTCTACAGCTAAGATGCTGAACAACAGTTCAACCTGGAGCTGGGCTGCCGTGAGTCGCCGGCGACGGCATAGGCTGCAGCCCCTGTGGCAGTGGGTTGCCATGGGCTACCGTGTGTAGCCAGCAGCCAGCGTGAGCGGCCAGCAGCTGCAGTGAGTGGCTGTCTAGAAGCAAGTGACTGATCTGCCTCGCCCGGGAAGAGTGCAATGATAGTGCCAACTTGGGCCAATGAAGCAACGTCCTCCACAACTAGACTGAAGAACAAAACAACAAAAACTTGTCTGTTCCCCTTCCCCCAATTCCCCAGGGCTGTTCCCATCCCCGCAATTCCCCAATAAAAATTTTTTTTTAAAAAAAGAGGTATATCCAAGCCTCAGGGTGGGAAAGTTCTTCAGGATAGTTGAAATACACGGTGCTGCAAGCAGTCTACAATCAGTCCCTGGAAGGCAGCCAGCAGAAATTAGGCAAAAAGATTTAGGCCTGGGCTGCAATTTCAACAGAGATACAGAAGAAGAATTGAGCTTCCAGATCAGAGCCAAAGTCCAATTAAACAACCAAAAGCAGATGGCAGGGTTAGAGATAAAAGCTAAATCCTGATGCTTAGAAATTTTCTCAGGAGCCCAAATCAATTCCAGAGGCAAAGCACACACTAGCTTATTATCAGACTTCAATCTGCTAAAATACAATGGTTCTCATTTGGCCAGGGTTCTGTCAGAACTGAGACTTCCTAGGCTGACACCATGAAGTGAAGCTAGGATGGGCCTAGGGTAGACAAGTATTATCCCTGGCCTCTCTAGCAGAAATATATATATTACTTTACTTTACCCATTATCTCCCTGAGATAGCTAAGGAGATACTATTTCAGATTTATAAATGGATATCACTCAAGTTTCAATAGTTTAATTTACTTTCCAAAAGTAAAAAATTCAGGAGAAATAAAATCTAGGTGGACCTGACACCTAGTCTAGTGTTTTTCCTGCAGAGTCACATTACTGTTGGGATTCTTCCTGATACCTCAGTAGCAAAAATAGCTGACTTGCAGGGATCATGATATTTATTTCATTGTGTAAAGCTTTATAATTCTAAAATGGAACCAAAGCTTTCCCACCCAGAAGTTGCCTTTCTGGGATATTGATTTTAAGCTGTTTCTTAAGAAACAAAAGATTCAAAAAAACAAAAAACAAAAAACAAACCTTTGACCCCTCCCCCATTTCCTGCCCAAGTAATTCAGACAGAAAGACATGCTTCAGGAAGCAAATCTTAGGATGTTGCCTCCCCTTGATTTGAATTAAGTATGGTAAATAGGAGAGCTCCAGGCAGGTCCTATTACCTAGATACCATCCCCCCCACACACAAACACACACCCCGTGTCCCATTGTTTCTGAGTGCTTAGCAAGAATTTTCCTGCCAGGTATGTTCCACTCTTCCTCAACTACCTGTAAATCACCCATTCTCATTTCTGAAATCTAAGACATCATTCCCCACTTTTTTCCTTTTTCCAAAATGTCATTATATATATATATATATATATATATATATATATATATATATATATATATATACCCTATGTTGCCTCACTGTCTTTGGAATTTTCATGCATATGTGAATTCCCCATGAACATGTATTAAAATTTGATTTTCTCCTGTTAATCTGTCTCTGTTAATTTGATTATTAGCCCAGGGTGAAGAACTTAAAAGGTGGGAGGAAAAGTATTATTTTTTTAGCCCACATAAGTCCCATTCTGTTGACCATCAAAGCAGGAAATGGGTATTCCTGAACTGCTGTTCAAATGAGGCAGTCAGCAAAGGCAGTATTTAATGCCCCAAAGTGTTACTTCCTTTGTAAGTTTAAAGGACATCAAATAAGCAAAAACAAGAAAAATAAACATAGGAAATAAAAAAATTGACTATATAGTTTATATGTGTATATACACATACGGTTCTTAACAAAATTCTCTGGATTTAAAACTGTAAACATTCAGGCATGTTTACATGTCAAACTTCTAAAGTTCTGAAGTTTCTTGCTTTGTTTTGTTTTCTATCAGAGCACCCCCAGAAAACTGACTTGAAAAGCTATTGGGTAGAGGTGGCATATTACACAGAAAAGCAGTGTCTTATAAGGATCACACTTCATGAGACAGATATCTAGGCTGCCTGCTTTCCCTGAAATCCAGGTTTAATTATTCTGAAACCAATTAATTTATGAACCCTGAATTCCCCTCCAGACAACCACAGATTCAACAGCAGGACACCACAGCTGAGATTCTCAGGAAACCCACATGAGCTGGGAAATACAGTTAACAACATCATGATCCAGTGCCCAGAATAACTGCCAAACAGGCTTAAACACAGACCCACTTACTGCAGAGATCAGCAGCGCCAGACTGTTTTCTTTTTTTTTTTAATTAGTTTCAGGTGTACAAAACACTCTGCTTTTTATTAACTCACATCCATTCAACAGTTTATAGAGCAATAATGTGCCAAGCATTGCTCTAGATGCTGGGGGTAGAAAGATGAGTAGATATGTGGACAGAAAAGGGGCCACAGGTTAAACCTGACAAACTCATGAAACTGATAATAACCACATAAGATGATATAAACATTAAAAAAAATTCATAACTAAGATGGGCCATGGGGGTGGGGGAGTCACATCTTTAGCCTGAAGCTTCCTTCACAGTCAATCTTCACCTTAAGTGAGCCTGTCTATTGTCTTTTTGCACCTAAGATGACATCCTTGGAATGTTAGTAATCCCTTTTTC